CCCATCACTACAAGAAAGACATTTTGATGCTGGGGCATGTCCAAAGAAGGGCAACAAAGCCGATGAAGGGTTTAAAGCACCAGACTTATGAGCAGTGGCTGAAACCCGCAGAAAAGGAGGCAGAGGGGAGACCTTATTGCTCTCTACAATTAAGTGAAAGGAGGTTGTAATGAGGTCGGTGTCAGTCTCTTTTTTCTGAAGTAACAAGTGACTGGACAACAGGAAGCATCCTCAAGTTGCACCAGGGAAGGTTTAGATTGGTTATTAGGTAAAAATATCTTCACTGAAAGGGTTGTCAAGCATTGGAACAGCCTGCCCAGGGAAGTGGTTGAGTCACCATCCCTGGAGGTATTTAAAAGCCATAGAAATGTGGTGCTTAGGGACATGGTTTAGTGGTGGACCTGGCAGTGCTAGGTTAACATTTGGACTCAATGATCTTAAAGGTCTTTTCCAGCCTAATGGTTTTATAATCTATGATTTCTCTTGGAGATATTGCATGGAAAGGAATTATTTACAGTTCAATTCCCTACTCTCTGGAGTCTCTTAAATTCAAATTTCACTCCTGTTAGCAAGTTATTTCTGTTTTAGTTGCCTGGATAATATTTACTGTCCATTAATATTCATTGCCCACTCATCAATTCCGTAAGTGGAATATTGGACTGCATCTAAACTCTGCTGTGCTTCTTCACTGATTAAGGGAGTGTTAGAGCATAATAGTGAATCAGGAACTAAAGGAACTTCACACTGAGAAAAATGCACTTTTCTTGAGTTGATACCTGGCTGTAGTGATTCCTGAGTTAACACAGAATTTACTGACAATTAAGAGTAAGATTAGTAGCAATGAGCTTTGTTCTGTCCCTCTTAAAAAAAAATAACAGAAATGTCTGTCAGCTATTTTTTATCATTCTATAAAGTAGTGTTTGGGGGTGATTGGGGAATATTGTAAACAAAATACTTTGCCTAGGACCTGATTCAGCAAAATAATAATTAAGCTTCTGTGCCAGACCATCTTCACCTACAGAAATCAATTTTTATGGGTTCCAGAGCCTCATGCAGGATTAAGAAATGTGAATCCCATGGGTAGGGGCTCATTTTTGTTGTTGTTACATATGGTCCTTAGAGTGAAAGGGATATAACTATATTAAATTAGAAAAAGAATTATGTAAAAAATATATTAAACCACAGACAAATGATGATGAAATGATGAAATTACAGCTTGGAGAGTATGGAAGGAACTATAGCATAGAGAAGAACAGCATAGAAAATATGAGTTTAAACCTTTGAATATGAGTAATGATGCGTCAACACTGGTATCACTGGTTTTCACAATGGCAGTGAAAAAAATCCTAAATTGTAGGTTTGGGAATTTTTTCTGCTGGAGAGTAATGAAAATTAATTTTTCCCATGCAGACTATCTGGAAAAAAAAATATATTAAAAAATGGTAATTTAACTAAGTAGTTCTGTTGTCATACCACGTACTTACTCTTCGCATTAATACCTTACATCAGGTTTTGTGTCACAATCTCAGTGAAGTTACCTATAGTCTGTGACATTCCTTGTTCTTTTACATTAAAGAACTGTATTGTAATCTCCTCGGCTGCCCAACATGGAGCTCAGGTTGATGGGAATTGGAGAAAAACTTCACAGAATAAAATGTAACAGTCTGTAACATACACAAGTTGCAAGCAACACACAGTAATAACAAGTAAATGTTAACAAACAGAGTGAAAGAGAGAAAAAGAGAAAATGTGAAGAACATGTAAAAGAATTAAGATTCCTATATTACAACTCAGTTTTAGTTACCCCAATATTCTAAGGCCATTACAATAAAAATTTTATTAGTTCTAGGTATCTTTATTAAAGTTTCCTGATTTTTATATTACTGCATATTTTGAAAGTTGCTATGAAGCTCTTCTGAATAGATACCACACTGATGGACTTTACACTGGCACGAGAGCATAATTTAGTATGCTACATGAATCCGCAGAATCCTTCCGACCCAACCTACCTCTTCAACATTTACTCACCACCAAGTTGGTCCTCCAGTAAGCCGTATCCCCCAGAAAAGGCACTCCAGTGATGGTGGTGACCGCCTCTCCCAGTACTAACTGGCCAACATAGTAACGTCACTCCCAGAGAATATCACCTTTGAGAGGTACTACCTCTTGAAGTGAGGTGACAGTATGTTGGTTGTCTACCTATTGGTACTACTAGAGGAAATACAGGAGCTCTAGCTAAGCAGATCCATTACATCTTGCTATTACAGGCATTATTGGATATGTGCTTAATGCAGTGTTGAGAACTGCTGCTCCTGGAAGTGCTGCGTTGCAAAGAGCTCTGGAAGATCCTTCCTAGTTTTACCCTGACACTTCTGGGGTTTCACTTATACCCATCCTGGACTTCTGAGAGTCTTACTAATACCATATTCTGTAGAGTGCTGTGAGTTGTTGACAGGTCAGGTAGAAATTGCAGGAGAATGCAGTCAGGTGAGTCATGCTCGAGTCTTAAATTATCGCTTTGACTGAGGAATACAGTATGATGATCTGTACAGTATGTAAGGTGTCTGAGACATGAAGCATGGATGAATACAAAGAACAGTGACAGCGGGAATGGTAAATTGCTTGTTATTGCTGCTTTGTGCTTATAAACAGACAAGCAAGTAACTAAAAGGCTTGGAGAAAATTTCCAGCAAGTACAGAGTAAGAGGGATATAAGCAAGTAGACTGGGCACAGAACTGGGACCTCACACTCTAGACTGTTTTGTCCCTGGCCTTTTGTAGTAATGGGTAAGTGATTCCATCTTTCTAGCTCTACTGCAGTAGAGATGTACTTCTTGCACAGAGGTGCCTTTTGTTGTATTCTGTCCTGCAAACACCAGTCTATTCAGGCCAGCAGAAGGGAGAGATGCCAAGAGTACCTCTTTGTATCCCAGGAATGAATTCTGGACTGGATGGCATGGGAGCTGCAGTGGCAGGCATGTGTGTGAGAAAGAGGATTTACCATAATTACATCTGCCTTGTGCTGGAGAATTGGCACAAGTTGGCCTTCTTTGGCTTGCGTGGTTGTATCTGTGTTTTCCCATCATTAAAAGTACCTTGTGCTCATTAAGTTATTAAGGCATGGAAAGTCATAAGATTTATTATTTAGCTTTGCATTTGTTTTTCAGCTTAGTAAGTCCTGCCCCTGCGCACACTCATCCCTGGCTACAGCCAGACCACAGGAGGCTGTGTGGAGAGATTTTTTTTTCACAATTTTTCTTTAATGTCTCACATGGTGCCAGGAAAAAGTGGGAGCCCAAAGCACTGTGCTTGAATTCATAGCTCCTCCCTTTTGTTTTCAAATGACTTGGTATAGAGGATGTTATTTTTTAATCAAATTCTAAAGTAAACAAGCATTGTAGTACAAATGACACCCACCAGTAGTATCCCTACAGGAAATGACAGATGAATAATTGTACAATGAAGTGTTACATTATATTAATTATAAATTATGCCTTGTGTGTTATCCACAGCTATGAGATTGCAGAAATGCCACATGGGACAGAGGAAAAGAAACAGATCCAAATTGCTTTCACCTAACCGTAGGCACTTAACTGAGGATCTTAAGTTAGAGGTGCAGTCACCTGAGATTACTTACGGAGAAAGCAACCTGCAGAAGGCAGTTCATATCACAATTACTCTCTGAGGCTGCCTGATACTTATTCCAATATAAGGGGACCTCAGGCAAATGCATCTTAAGTTAGATGAGAAGAACTGAGCAGTATTCCTTTTATTTTGAGCTGTTACAATTTCTATTAGATCCATAAGACTCCATCTTCAGTGACATGATGCAAACATTACCTCATTTGCTATTTTGGAGAGATGAATTTGGGGTATTTAAAGGCTAGGAAGGCTAAATATAGGCAGGAAAGAAAAATATCTTCCTATTACTTTTTCCACTGCCTTTTTAGTATTTATGTCAAACACATTTAAACTTCAAAGGCTTTTGAGCTGAAATAGACCTAAACTCTTGGCAATTACATTTCTATCTACTGTCCATCTTACAGAAAGGGCCAAAGGTTTTATGACACTAAAATCAGATGAGATTTTTTTTTCCTAATGTTCAAAGGCATTTGATTGAGAATTTGCTTCCCTGTGGATTGAAGGACCACCACAGTGACTAAATACCTGTCTTTAACAATGCTTTGCTATCCATAAAAGCCACTGAAGTTCACACAGTACAGTGAAATGTTAGGCAGCATAATTGGCCTGTGACAAGAACTGCCAATAGCCCCCCACTCCCACTGAGCTTTGGCACTACAATTACAGTGCTCAGCACACTTCTGACGTTAGAATCAGTGTGTTGCACAAGAAGTACAGGTTATTTAGTTTATGGTGACAGAAGGGATGAAAAATGAAACCCTGAGAAAAGAGCAGCTCCTTCAGAAAGCATGACTGATAAAACCGAAATGGGTAATTCCATGTTATTTCTTTGAAAGGCGATCAGCTCTCTCTCAGGAAATTGCATTGAAATAATAGGTTCCTAATGTCACAGCTTATGCCAGTTAATTTGACCATGAGAACATGAGTCACTATAACTATGTAGTTTCCCTCTGTCAGTGACAGACTTGGATTGCTTGAACTATTTCAGACATAGGGATAGTCAAGGAGTGGGTTATGGAAAACAGTCATTTGAGCAGGTAAGTAACACAACCACAGAAGTTCTTCTGAAGCTAAAGACTGTATTAGCAATGACAGGTATTTTCCCTCTCCTCTTAGATGCCTGAATTCTAGTTATATTTCTTCCATATTTTACAGCTATGCAATAAACAGAATTTTGTCATCAGTACACTGTGAAAAAGGGTGCGCAATATATTTCTATAAGATACAATATCCTTGGAGTTTAGCTTAAGTGAACCTGCATGCAGACAGGATCAGAGAGGTGAGGAATTCTTTTCTTGGCCATATTAAAGTCAATATAAACACTGTGTGTGTTGGTGTTGTAAATAGATACACAAAAACAATAAAAGGTTGGGGTAGATCTCTGAATAAACCCAAATTAACATCAGCTGTGCTTACAATATATGGATCCATTCTCTCTGGCACCAGACAGTACAGTAGACATCAAATGAAGTTATGAATTCCAATCATATTCTAAATTTCTTTCACCGTGTTGGAAAATTACATTCACCAGTTTATCCTGTGGCAACTTTAAGATGTAACCATGCAGTCAACCTCTCCTTAAGGTAAGCACATAGAGAGGGACTGAAGAGCTGAGTAACACTTTCAAAACAAAACTGAGAACTTTCAAGATTTGTTTTGCATGTTTTGAAGTTTTGTTATAAATTATAATTTTCATATAAATTGTACCTTAAAATATTTTACTATATGCACTGAGATAAATTATGTATGCCTGTAGGACACTGTGTGATTTGGGACAGAAATAAGCTGAATTTAAGTGGTTGAAACTGGCTTTTTCTGGTTTGCTTCTATTTGAAGCAATTTTTGCTTTGCCTTTTTTCCTATTTTGCTTCGGTTACAATACTGACTGAAATACTCAGAAGCCTGTACATAGGCTGCAGCTCAGCAGACTATGGTTGACTGATGTTTGTTTAGTTACGATGAACTAATGGCTTTGCTGTAGATCTTTCAAGTGATCTTGCTCAATTAAGTTAAACCCCCTATCAAATGAAAATACTAGAGATTACTTCCATTTTTCTCTTTGCTGTCTACTTAGCCTGTCGAATATCTGATTGCAATATAGTGGTTATCACATAGTCAGTGATGGCAAAATGAAGCCTTAATTTTGAATGGGGCCTGCAAACAGCACTGCTACAACATGCTGTGTGTATTTTGAGTGAGGGGACACCTTGTCATCCATAGTCTGAGATATCCTTGGGTCAAGGAGTTTTAGTCAAATTGGTCAGGTAGGATCTGCTCCTTTGTATCAAGCCCTGTTCGTCCAGGCAGTATCTAAGCAGTATCTTGAAAATTCACAGGTATCAGAAGCTACCACAAAGAAGACTTTTTGTATAGAGAAATCTCTGCTTTCTTAATGCTGCTGGTGAAGGCCTGCCTTGCAGCTGTAGCTCTGCCATACTGTACTCTGAAGTGCCTTTCCTCCCCTTCTGCAGCTTTCCCAGCTACCCATTGAAAGGACCAGATGGGATGGAGAGCAGAAGGGGCTGCTGCAGAAAGGGAAGGCATGGTAGGGTTAAATTCTGACATTCTTCCTATCAGATTAAAATCAAGTGCTGTTATTTAAAGATACCCTCCTGCCAGGTGTAGATTAGCCCCGGACTGAGCTGCTGAGAGTGTTGGGGACAATTTAAAAATTTAATTCAATCCTACCAGAATTTAAATTCAGACCATCTTTGCTTTGCCTATAGATGACCATAATAGCATCATTAGCAGCAGCTGTGCAGCCTGTAGGCAAAGTTCTGCTGTTTGCAAGTCTGTGCCAGGAAAATGCTCCTTAGCTGGAGCGGAGGCACTGGGCTGTGACTGTGCAGAGCTCTCTGTGTGTTTGTACCCCTTGGCCCTGTGTGTATGGACCAAGAACAGCTGTGAGCTGCTGGCTTGGTGCATGAGAGGGCTATAGGGAGATAGTCATATGTGAAACTATTTCACAATCATAACTGTTTTGTGAAGCATTTAATCGTTCTACCACACATGATATATGGAATTAATAACGTCATGTGATGTCCTTTACACCTGAGCAGCTAAGCAGGCTTTTTTTTGGAATAATGCATTAAATACACATCATGTGATCTTGTATCACCTGAATGCTGTCACACTGAAGCTTTACCGTTAAAATTTACAAGATACATCTTGGAAAACACAGGCATTATTTTAGAAACATTAGGCACCCATTCTGTGTTCCTAGTACAGTGTTAACTGGATGTTTACAGTTAGGTGCTATTAACCAATCCAGATATTTTACAGTATGGGAAACACTTACTATTTGAAACTCTCTGTTTTCCTATAATGTGCAGATTATAATTTCAGGAACAAGTCAGTGCCTACCAATTCTTTGTATTAGATAAGTGAACCTCAACATCCAAGGCAATGCAGATCTTGTTTTTACAGTGTGGTATGATCTTATGTATTAGTTTTACTTTTACTTTGCACACATATAGATCTTTCACTATTAGGAAGCAAAGAGATACAGGCACTATATTTTGCTGCTAGTGATGCATAATAATTATGAGAAACTGAACTCCAGCAACAGTGTTACCAAGTCCATTTTGTTAGCTGAAGTATAAGTGTGCTTTGTTACTTCTTAAAATATATATGCTTGTATACTTATATAAAAATAATCTCTCTTAATTATTGCAGAAATAGATAAGTTGCTGTTACTATCAATACTTCATGGATATTGTGATAACAGCTGATTTTAGAGCACTGGTGGTGGCAAAACAGTTCCACATTGAACCAAAATTACACGTATTCTCAGGATACCAGTGTGGAATTGCACTGAACTCGTAGAGTTCTTAGTCCTCTTAGTTCCCAGAGAGGACCAGGGTAGGTAATGGAAGCAACTTTGTAAAGTAAGGGATTTCTGAGAAGAAAGTCACTCTGTAGCTGACTGTTAAAGTACTCAAGATTCTGGCATCTCTTGCATGTTACATTTGGGTAGTTGGCATATTGCTCATAGTAGGGGACAAACAGTAGTGTTTGTGCCCTCTTTCCCTCTTGACACGTGATGCCATAACGACATCTACTCGTGAGAACATTTGCTGCTTGGACATGAGTTGTGATAAGCATTTGCAACCTGAGGGGGATGGATGATAAAACCATACGCTTGTGCACCAAAGATACAATAGGAAAGAGACAGTCTATTCTCACTTACGAATTGTAATTGGCCTGTTGCAATGGAATAGCCTTTAACAAAAAATAATAAAGCTATTTACCTTCTGAATGGATTTTACATAGTTGCACAAAAGGGAAAAGAAATAAGGACAGAGAAAAGAATAGAAAAGAAGAGAAGGGTTCCCACCAGCTCTTCCCCTCCATAATTAGCATTGGCATTGGTGAAGTCACACACAAAGGAAAGTCTCACTTTCTTTGTGCATCTCACAATGACATTAACATGCATGGCAATGAGATGACAAGAGAATACCTCACTCACAATGAGTAACAAATTACAACTTTTTTCAAAGTAAAAAAATGGTAACACAAGACCATCATAGGTATATGCTAGCTCTTTCAAAACATGTCATTTTTACTAGATGTCAATTAAAATCACTTGACTGGTGATCTGTTCGATCTTATACAAGAGGGGGATATTCTGAATAAGCTGAAGAATGTCTACTATGCAACTTGACTGGAACATCTGCCAAAAATTAAGTGGGCTTTGTTTTCAACATGGTTATCTACTTGAAATTACTCCATAGAATAAATAGTTGTATTCCATGGGTAGAGGTAGATTATGGGGTTTAAATAATCAAAATGGAGCCCCGTAATTTCATGTGCTGTAGGAGGATTCTCATAAAACTGAGATATTCCCATAATTAACCACTAGCCATGGGATATTATAATATATTCCATGGTGACTAGTATTTTTTCCATTTCTCTGCCCCCCTCCCAGTAGAATTAGTATGATTAATTTTGCTCCGGTTTCACCTATTGCTAACACGAATCAATGTAATTAAAACCAAGAATACCATATTATGAGGCACTAGGCCAGACTGGCCGGTAATGACCAGTCAGACCTTTTCCAGTAGACCTTTGCTGCTAGAAGGAGCAGTTGTGTGCTAAAAGGTTGAAGGAGCTGTAACTCACCAACCCACACTTGCAAAAGGAGCATGTTTTAGAAAATGTGGCTCAAAGCTTTTCATAGTTCAAAACGCTAAATTCTAGTGGAATATTATAGAATAGATTGATTTGCATGCCATGGAATAAACATCCTTACATCTCATCTTGCCTCAGAGTGAGTCAGTTTGCATTAGTGTCAAGAATTTGAGCTGTTGTTCTACTTTGCAGTTAATCATCAGAAAGAGACGGGATTGTCTCATGAATATGCATGATGGTATGGTTGTCCTTTCAACTTACTAGGCACCTAGTTTCTGTAATGAGATGTACAATATCTGCCATTTAAAACAGCTGAAAGGTCCCAAATGGGAACAAATGAGAAAGCATCAGGCTGTTTCGAATTCCAGCCCTGTTTTGTCAGAAAACTCTAATTGCTGAGTACTTGGCTCCTACTCTGCTCTATGAAGCATTCAGCTCTCAGGAGCCTCTGAGATGCATTACACAGTCCAGCAACATAGCTGTAGAACTCTCAAAATTCTTCCACTAGAAGCTTTTCAAAATATCTTGAGACTTGTATGCCCTCAACCAGGACCAAAGTTTGGTCTCCTAGAGCGTGCTCTCATCCTTAGTTTTGCTGATCAGCCTCCACTGTACCATTTGTCCCTGCAACCTAGACTTCACACATATTATTCACTGTGTGATGGTGGGACTAGAATGGATAAATGTGCTACCCATTGCTCTAAGAAAGCAGTCTGGCTGAATCTTAAATCACTACGCGGGATGGAGGTTAACGGTCAGATGGACATTCCTCTAAGAGGTTTCCTACCTGCTCTGTTAATTTCTAAAATTTCTTCTTGGGCCAGTGGGCAAGTGTCGCTCTGAGTACTGTGGTGTGGAGAGTTTACAACAGATTTACAATAATTGGGGGATCCCAGCTGGGGTGGCCTCGGGATATGCTTCTTTTTTTTCTTTGGTAGCTTCTGCTTAGCCATAGCTAAGGAGTAATACATTCCGAAATTGTTCACAATGACAGGGACAGGCATGGCAATGGTCAGCACACCGGCAAGAGCACAGAGGGCCCCAACCAGCATGCCTGACCAAGTCTGAGGATACATGTCTCCGTAGCCCAGGGTCGTCATGGTGACAACAGCCCACCAAAAGCCGATGGGGATATTTTTAAAGTGTGTGTGTTCACTGGCACTAGGGTCATTTGGTTTAGCACCTATTCTCTCAGCATAATAGATCATCGTGGCAAAGATTAAGACGCCCAATGCCAAAAATATGATGAGCAGCAAGAATTCATTTGTGCTGGCACGGAGGGTGTGTCCCAAGACCCGCAACCCAACGAAGTGGCGGGTCAGCTTGAAAATTCGCAGGATTCGCACGAAACGGACTACGCGGAGGAAGCCCAGGACATCCTTAGCAGCTTTGGAAGACAGGCCACTGAGTCCAACCTCTAGATAGAAAGGCAGTATGGCCACAAAGTCAATGA